ACATAACATAACATAACATAGCATAGCATAACATAACATAACATAACATAACATAATATAACAAAACATAACATAACATAACATAACATAACATAGCATAGCATAGCATAACATAACATAACATAACATAACATAACATAACATAACATAACATAACATAACATAGCATAGCATAACATAACATAACATAACATAACATAACATAACATAACATAACATAATATAACATAACATAACATAATATAACAAAACATAACATAACATAACATAACATAACATAGCATAGCATAACATAACATAACATAACATAACATAACATAACATAGCATAACATAGCATAACATAGCATAACATAACATAACATAACATAACATAACATAACATAACATAACATAACATAGCATAGCATAACATAACATAACATAACATAACATAACATAACATAACATAACATAACATAACATAACATAACATAACATAACATAACATAACATAACATAGCATAACATAACATAACATAACATAACATAACATAACATAACATAACATAACATAACATAACATAACATAACATAACATAGCATAGCATAACATAACATAACATAACATAACATAACATAATATAACAAAACATAACATAACATAACATAACATAACATAGCATAGCATAGCATAACATAACATAACATAACATAACATAACATAACATAACATAACATAACATAGCATAGCATAACATAACATAACATAACATAACATAACATAACATAACATAACATAATATAACATAACATAACATAATATAACAAAACATAACATAACATAACATAACATAACATAGCATAGCATAACATAACATAACATAACATAACATAACATAACATAACATAATATAACAAAACATAACATAACATAACATAACATAACATAACATAACATAACATAGCATAACATAACATAACATAACATAACATAACATAACATAACATAATATAACATAACATAACATAACATAACATAACATAACATAAAATAACTGGCTCTCTGTCCAGGGTGTACCCCGCCTGATTGCCTGTTGACCACTGGAGATAGGCAACACCTTGTTTTATTTATTCCAGGTAGAGCCCTGCACGGGCCTAAAATCTGAGCCCGTGTCCGGCCCGAGGGGGTGGAGCCCCAGCCCGACCCGGCCCGAAAAGGTTTTCAGGATTCTCTGGCCCGGCCCGAGCCCGATTTTTTTTAACCAGCTAAATGAAAACAAAGTGCGTCAATCCTGACCAATGTGTTAAAAGATGTGCAGGATCCGATCAATTTGTTTTTCCCTCGTTTACAGTCATGGAGATAACGGCACACTGGCTCTGGTGGTAATCAAGTTAAATTTGATCTCTTTCCAACAATTTTCACAAGAAAACAGAACAGTCAAAAGCAGGGCTTGTGTTGACCGGACAGTTCCAGAATAGAAAGAATTACCCCGACGCATGCAGACGAACTGACATTTTATTCGTTACGCACATCGCAAATGTAGCTAAATCACCCAAGAAAAGATTCCCATCTGAACATCTGAGCTGCTCAGCGCAGCTCGCTGTCAGCGCATATGTGCACAGGGAGCTGAAGATGTGGAGAGGGGCTTGGAGCGCATCGCAGAACCAGAGCGCATGCGGGAAGATTCCTCCCACTGAAGCGAGTGTTTTCCAAACCCTGTCTCTCAGAGAGACTTGTCACTTAGAAAATGTTCCCTGATTATGAAACTTTGGCTGAATAGTGCTTGTTCCTGTCTCCAATGTGGCGACACATCCAGGAAGAGAATCCCAGAATCTCTTCAGCTCAGACAGCTTATATTACGCACAAGCGTGACGCGTCAACCCGGTCTCACAGTACAACACGTTGACTGGGTTGGAACTGTTCAGGTTTACGCAGACAATCTTTACATAGAATTGACTTACAGATATAAAATTAATGCAGTAAAATATAAATCATTTTATTTAAATATCCATTCATTAATTTACAAGCACAGAGAGCCGCATCAGATGGATGGAAGAGCCGCGGGTTGTGACATGTTTTCTCCAGGACCAGAGAGGACGCGAACTCAATACATCTCTTTTATTGTGAGGTAATAATTTCTCCGAGTTTTGCGGTTGCGGGCGGGAGTAGACATGCACGCTGCAGGTGCGGGCGGGAGTGTAACACACACGTTGCAGTTGCGGGCAGTAATGGTCAGAAATTCAGCGGGAGCGGGATGAAGAAAACAGTCCTGCGCAGGGTTCTACTGCTGCGTTTGTGTTTAAATTTTTTTAAAATGAATTCGATTAAAAATAAAGGCGCCCGGCCCGTGTCCGAGGTAATTACACAGTCGTTGGCCCGAAGCCCGACCCAAGGGCCTAGGGCTTCAGTGCAGGGCTCCAATCCCAGGGGACCTCAACTACATTTGTTCAAGTTTTTTTTTCCAGCAGACACCAGAGAAGGTCAGATGCTCTTCTAAAATAAAGTTCTAATATCATTGTATCTTAATTTATTACAATTTAAAATTGCCTTGTTTCCTATCTGGGGTGTGATGGTGGTTTTAGTTGTGTTTGGAAAATGTGGACAGTTGTAGATGTTTGGGACATGAAACTGTAGAGGCCCCCAATTGGGGGGCATTAGGGTAAAACAGGCTAGACACTATGGGAAACTCATTTTGGCACTGGCACTGTTTGTTTCTTTTTTCTTTTTGTACCTGTTGTTATTTTTTTATTTTTTTACCTTGTTTTTGTTATTTGTCGTTCCTCTCTTGTATACATTATAACAAATGCAAAAATTGGCTAAATAAAATAACAATAATAATAAAAAAAGATTTCATTTGGTTTGCAATCAGGGTTAGAAAAACACCATTGCTTCTATTCAAAACACATTACCCATTACTTCACATTTATCATCTCAGCAAAAAGCCACAAAAGTATTGGTTACATGTTCAATATCAGCCTGAACAAAACCAGCTTCTTCATTAGTCGATCACTGACTATTAATATGTTAGCTTGTTATAAACCACTCGTTTCTGACTCATTTCCAAAGAACAGAAACATATCTGGTCCTATATGTGGTGACATATTCTATCCAACCATCTCATGCCGTAAACTGTATCATACTGCATTGTTTTGCATTTGATGTTTAGTCCCATCATAATGCATTCCATAACAATAACATGTAAATTCTGAACCGTATGATATTGTGTAAAACTGCTTCATATAATTGTTATAACTGCATCATGTGTTATTGTATCATATCACGTTGCAAACCTCAGTATTCTATGTTATATTATATATATATATATATATATATATATATATATACGTATGTATATATATGTATGTATATATATATATATATATATATATATACATATATATGTATATATATGTATATATATATATATATATATATATGTATATATATATATATATATAATATAACATATATATATATATACATATATATATATGTATATATATATATATATATATATATATATATGTATATATATATATATATCTATATATGTATGTATATATATATATATATATATATATATATGTATGTATATATATATATATATATATATATATATATATATATATATATATATATATATATATATAGATATATATATATGTATGTATATATATATATATATATATATATATGTATGTATATATATATATATATATATATGTATGTATATATATATATATATATATATATATATATATATATACACACACGTATATATATATAATAACATAATATAACAATAATATATATATATATATATATATATATATATATATATATATATATACACACGTATATATATATAATAACATAATATAACAATAATATATATATATATATATATATATATATATATATATATATATATATATATACACACGTATATATATAATAACATTATATAACAATAATATGTATATATATATATATATATATATATATATATATATATATATATATATTACACTCAACAAAAATATAAACGCAACACCTTTGTTTCTGCTCCGATTTTTCATGAGATGGACTTAAAGATCTAAAATTCATTCCAGATACACAATATCACCATTTCTCTCAAACATTGTTCACAAGTCAGTCTAAATGTGTGATAGTGAGCACTTCTGCTTTGCTGAGATAATCCATCCCACCTCACAGGTGTGCCACATCAAGATGCTGATCCGACATCATGAGTAGTGCACAGGTGTACCTTATACCGCAAATGTATATATATATATACGTATCATGTTGTATAGCATGATATCGTATTACATTGTATCTTATTATAATGTATTATGTTTCATTGTATTGCACCATATCAGGTCACATAGCCTTGTATGGTACAGCATTGTCTCATGTCCTATAATATTAAACTGATGTCATTTTGTGCATTGCAGTGTTGATATTGGGCAGGTAAAAGTTGTTTGATGGGTAGAAAAATACTTTAATTAAAGTTGCGGGTACGACTCTGGGTGGATGGTTCAGGTAAGAAAAAAGTATAATTTTTTTACATTTTCATGAATATTTAAATAAAAATGATCTCAAATAAAAGAGATCCCAGTGGAGCTCTGCCCGTGACGTTTGGTGAGTTTAATACAAAAGAAGAAACTCCAACAGGTGTTTGCAAAAAAACAACAAAACAAACCATCAAAATGGACAAAATCAAAGCTAAACTGGAACTAGGTGAGTACTACACTGTGTTCGGTGGAAGTTTGGAATAGTCGGTGTGTCTCTGTCCGGGTCCCGGGTCGGCTTTTCTATCAAAGGGCCTGTTTGGTTCTGGATTTGATACCGTTACCGGGTCGAGTTTGAACAACATCCTAACAGGTGCGGGCGTGCGGTACCGGACCCTGTTGCATGGCTGTCCCCGCTGCAGCATCTCTGCTGCCTGATGAAAGCTTCACACAGAAACTTACAAACTCAAACAGAACCTTTCTGTCCTCGTTGAACCCGGAACTCACCTTTCTCTTGGACTTGAACACGTTGCAGCGGAAAACGTTGCTCTCTCCATCCCTCGCTATGTAACTGAAAATCTTCAAGTCTTGCGCATCGTGGGAGACGTAAAAGATCCTGTCGTGGTGGGACAACACTCAGGCTTCTCATTCAGACACGTTTGTTTTGACGGAGTTGAGGTGACTCACCTGTAGATGGGATCTTGTGTCACCAAGAGCGAATTCTCATCCCATGACCACCCTCTCCTCTGTCCACACCCAAGACACAAACCATCAGACTTCAGAGCTTTTAACCAAAAGGACGAAAACAGATTCAGAGAAAACGTACCTTCTTCTTTTTGCGCAGGAGCACTTTGACGCAATCAGTGGAGACAAAAATGTTCACCTTCTTCTTCTTTATGTTCTTCAGCTTGAATTCATACTGGAGAGAAAACAGGAGTCATCTACGGGTCAGTCAGAGCCAACTGGCTCCTGTAACTCTGAGTTAAAGGTGAAACGCTTTACTCAAGCCAGATGAAAGTGAGATGGGATCATGCGGAAAAGGGAATGTTTCATCTCCTCCTCAGAGGAGTCGGAGACTTAGGCCTAGTCCACACGTAGCCGGGGTTTTTAAAAACGAATATCCGCCCCTCCAAAAACTTGCATCCACACCACCGCGTTTTAAAAAAAACTCTGTCCACACGTACCCGGATAAATACGTTGGTAAGGACATGCCAGACCTGTAGGGGGCAGTACTTCCCCCGTTCTTAACCTCGTCCTTCGTCTGTGGTCTTCCGTAAGGAGCAGCAGTGTTGCCAGATGTACGATAATTATCGTATTTGTACCATAATTTTGGGCTCTGTACGATGTACGATCAATAGTTTCAAAAATCCTCAAATGTACGATAATTTCACATTGCATCTAGTAACACCATCTTTTGCTGTGGCTTTCCCAAGTCAGTTACATAATTTTAAACTGTTCTGAAGTCAGATTTCACCTCAGTGCTTACAGGTTTATAAATGTCTCCTACAAACTAATGAAAAAGAGAAGTTTGAAAATGATGTGAAAAACGCTGAAATCAAGCTATGTGGCTTTTTAGCCGAGCACAACATTGCAATGAGAAGCACAGACCAGTTAGTACAGGTGATTAAAGGCATTCTGCTGCGACAGACAGTGAATCAGATGAGGAGATCGAGATCAGCAACTAGGTGAGCAGGCTTCTTTGTCATTTATTGGGTCAGTTTTTCCACTGCTGTGATGTTTTGTCGCGTGCTTTTAACCTATGTAGAAATGAAATAAATAGGACTGCGCAAATGTGCATACTGTGTCAATGCGTGGAGGTCGGAGTGGTGCCGACACACTCTGCACGTTTATAGGCATTATATTACTGGTTTTAAAGATGTTTATTTAAACAGGGCAATATTATATTGGAGTGAGAAGTCGTTTATAGAACATTATTATCAAATTTATAATGTACGATAATTTGTACTGAAAAACGATAATTTAAGCCTCTCTGTACGATATTGTGGGATTTTGGATCTGGCAACACTGGGGAGCAGTAACTCCGCTTGCAAAAACAAACAAGCAAAAAGCGCTTGGACCATTGATAAAGCGAGCGCAGCTCTGAGGGCATCCATGCTGTCGGCTAGTGTAAACACAGGTCGCACACGTGATGTCAGCATTTTTTGTCGTGGAAAGTGACGTTGCGGACCTTAAAACTCCGGTTTTGTCCGTCCACACGCAGACACCCAAAACGGAGAAAACGCAGATCTTCACTTTGGCCGGAGTTTTTAAAAAACTCCGTTTTCGTGTGGATGACAGGCCAAAACGTAGAAAAATATCTACGTTTTGGCAGATCCCCGGCTACGTGTGGACAGGGCCTGAGTAAACACGCGGGAACTGTCGGATTGTGTCTGGGGGAGATTTTGAAGCTTTCAAAGTCTGGCTTCCCAGAGGGGGGGCAGACATGAGCGGGACACTTTCATCACTCTGCATGATTAACACCAGAGCCTGCTTCCTCTGACTCCAGACAGCAGAGCAGGGAGGTTTCATAACAAATGAGATTCATCAGAGAAAAAAAACAGACACGCCTTAAAACACTTGATGTGATTTACTGATCAGGTGAAGTTCTTTGAACCAGATGTTGAACGAACTATCGGAGGCACGCTGAAATATTCCCCGTTATCTCTTCTTTGATGTTTCCTTTAATAAAAATGAAGCCTCCGTTTCTGCCTGGAGCCGGGCCAGAACCGACTCCTCTGTCGTTCTAGAACATCACAGAAGAAGAGGTCGAGGTCTGAGTCACCGGCGGCACGAAGGGGGTGACAAGAAGTCCAGAGCGTTCTAGTTCTGTGACCTGTGTTCTCCACATGTGCTCTCATCCAGTTAATCCATCTTGTTGATGCGGGAGTTGTATATTCCTGTGTGAAGGACACAGATACCTTAGTGTGTGTGTGTGTGTGTGTGTGTGTGCGGGTGTGTGTGTCATCTCACACAAACGGGGTAAAGAGGACCATCCATCTCCACGCTCGGGGCTGTCAGACGGAGATGAAGTGGAACTCTCTGGGAGAGTTCACGTTTTCACGCACGTCGGCCTGAATCAGCCGAGCGCCGCCGCCGCAGGCCAAGCCGACTCACCTGTAGTAGTGTGGGGGTTCTGAGGACGCGTGCTCTCTCGCCTTAGATGTGCAGACGTGAAACGGTAAAGTTCCTGAACACGTTAGCGGCGATTACAGGAGCTGCTGCCAGCACTTCTAGCTTCAGCCTTGCAGTAATCCAAGGCACCGTGACGACATTTTAAATGGTAAAGAGAACCAAGATCAAAAGAAATGCTAAAGCTGCTGCCGGTGGCTCATTAAGATCACCATGGTGACCACACATCTGTGTCTTCCGCTGCTCGACAGCTCAACGAGAGTCAGGCCGAGACGCAGACCACTACATGGGCTAAAGAGCTCCACAGGGGGCGGGGCTTTCTCTCCTCTTTCCCCCTAACCACACTGTTGTGTTGTCAGTTGTGTTGTGTAATCTGTGTCGTACAGTATAGTCACACTAAAGGTCATCCCGGCCGTCCTGATTGAGATTCTGCTGCTGATGTCATCTGCTGAAAGCGGCATCACTTTTGGACTCTCGGACAGATGCTGGTACAGATGTGCTTCAGCTGAGTTCGAACCCCGCTGTCATTCATCACCTTTTATTTGTTTCTTTGTGCGTTTTGCGCCTCCCGTCCTCCACAGGCTGCTCTGATCGGCTCCGGCGGTGTGTCCTTGTACACGCAGAGATAAAAGACGGTGTACCGAGAAAGCTTCAGCCTCGAGAACCGTGTCTCACTCTTCCCTTGCCTTCATTTCCAGCTGACGCTTTTGCATCTGTCATCGCATTTTCAGCGCTGAATGGGCCTGAAAGTCTCTCTGCAGACTATTAAAGAGCAAGTCACCCCTTACAAGAAGCGTACTTCACTCCCACTTCATGTTTGAAAAATGCAACAAATGCTGTTGCCTAGCAGACCGAGAGGGCGGAGCCGCTAACAAATACACACACACAAGACATTGTGACATCATAATCTACCAGTTTACATCATAGCATACCTCTTAGCCAATGGCGGTGGCAGATTTAAATTCAAATGCAGTGAAGAGTTTTTACCTGCCAGTTTTAGGCAGAAAATTTAAATTTTAACTAAAATGCACTAAAGTGCAAAACTATTGACTACACGTGTCTGCAGCACGATTAGACACGCATTTATATAGTTTATCAGAGAAAAATAGTTGATTTGGGGGTGACTTGCTCTTTAAGAGCTGTGAGAAAGCAGCTTTGAAGAAATCCGAGCAAACTCAACACTTCTGTGGTAAATCTCTGCCAGCACGATAAAATGGCCGTTACTGGTCCTGCTGCTGCAGGAGATCAGGATAAGTCCTTCCCTCCTGGGTGTCAGCGGGGACAGGGCTGACCTGCGGGTGACACCGCTACTCGGTTGTTAGGTTAGATTAACAGCTGACGAGCAGCCAAATCCTCTCCGCTCTGCTGCTGCTGCTGCTGCTGGGCGACTCTGTGCAGTGATGTGCAGCGACGAGGCGGTCGTGTGTGGAAGGACGGAAGCATCACGCTGTCTCATGATGTAAACAGCTCCTGACAACCCACTGAATCTGATCGGAGAGCTGCTCCTCTCAGACAGGTGACTTGCGTGCACGAGGAGCCCTGAACAATAGGGTGGACCACAGCGAAGAAACGTGTTTGTGCGGAGATGGAGAAGGACACAGGTAGCATCCCAGCGCCTGGCGCGCTTCAGAAAAAACAAACAAACCAACTCTTACTCTGATTCTCCTCATGGCTGCGACAATCTCCATTCGGCTGCCGGGGCGCCCCACCTCCAAACTGCCGATATACTAGAAAACACAGAGTTTGAAGGGTTATTTACTGAAGAGTAACGGCTGGACAAAAGCAGTGAAAGCAACGTGTTTCCATGTTTAGCTTAAATGGGTGAGAAGATGATAAGGAATGTTGAATGAGAGGCTTTTAAATCAAATCTCAATGCAAAAATATGAATTCTTGATGTGTATTTAATCACGTCGTTGTCGTTGTCGTCTTCCTCCGCTTATCCGGGTCCGGGTCGCGGGGGCAGCATCCCAACTAGGGAGCTCCAGACCGTCCTCTCCCCGGCCACCTCCACCAGCTCCTCCGGCAGGACCACAAGGCGTTCCCGGACCAGATTGGAGATGTAACCTCTCCAACGTGTCCTGGGTCGACCCGGGGGCCTTCTGCTGACAGGACATGCCCGAAACACCTCCCCGGGGAGGCGTCCAGGAGGCATCCTGACCAGATGCCCAAACCACCTCAACTGGCTCCTTTCGATCCGGAGGAGCAGCGGTTCTACTCCGAGTCCCTCCCGAATATCCGAGCTCCTCACCCTATCTCTAAGGCTGAGCCCGGCCACCCTACGGAGGAAACTCATTTCGGCCGCTTGTATCCGCGATCTCGTTCTTTCGGTCATTACCCAAAGCTCATGACCATAGGTGAGGATTGGGACGTAGATCGACCGGTAAATCGAGAGCCTGGCTTTCTGGCTCAGCTCCCTCTTCACCACGACAGATCGGCTCAGCGTCCGCATCACTGCAGACGCCGAACCAATCCGCCTGTCGATCTCCCGATCCCTCCTACCCTCACTCGTGAACAAGACCCCGAGATACTTAAACTTGAGGTAGGACTTCTCCCCCGACCCGGATTTGGCAAGCCACCCTTTTCCGGTCGAGAACCATGGTCTCAGATTTGGAGGTGCTGATATTTAATTACATTTAATTAAACGCTCGAATTATTAGAATCAACTTTGAACAAAGTTGGGCTGCATATGTACAATCATATCGAAATATCGAATTAAATGATCAAATCTAAAACCATAGATTTAAAAGTCAGTATTTAGAATCAAATCTGAATATAAGAAAATCGATTTAATTAAGAGTTGAAGCTAAAATACAGTCTAATCAACATGTTTAAAACCTGCATAAATCTACAAAAACAAAAGTGATCCATCATCTCACACCTCTTTAGACTTTTAGTGATGTCCCATCAGTGATTTTAACCTCCACCGACACATTTACACTCTGCTCTGGTTCACGTTGATTCAGTCAACCTGTGACGACATCATTTGTTTTGTTGACAAACATTCAGTCGGAGCCTTGAAACAAACATTCAGCTGCATCCTGATGAAACCCAAACTAAACTTCCTCTGCCAGAAGCGCGTGTGTGATGTTAGCGTTGCCATAGCAATAAACACAACTCAGCCTCCAGGCATTAAAAGCACCGAAGCTCCCATCAGCCGTGGCTGTGGAGCACATCCGGAGAAGACCGGACGGTGCCGACGAGCCCAGTAACCAGACTGGTTCCCCAGCCCAGTCCGAGCCGGATGCTCCAGGCTGGAGCCTGTCCGTCACAGAGGGCTCTTACCTTCGCGTCGAAGCAGACCCCATGCTGGAACACCTCCTCGTTGTGCACGGGCAGCCTCAGGTCGTGCGCGTCGTCCACCAGATTGTACTTGGTGACTCCTGGCATGGTTCGGTTCGAGCTGCCGACACTTGTTTTACGACCGCGCTAGAGACCCGCAGATATGCGCATCTCCTCCCTCCCTCTCCCTCCCTCTCCCCCCACCCTCGCTCACGCGTCACTCCGGGGGTCGCGCGCAGGTTGAGCAGCACAGCTCTGTCTGGATCTCCTGACCGAAGGACTGGCTGCTGGATCGGCTGCTCGCCCTAAATAACGGGCTGATCGTGGATCGTTGAAGCACGTTTCGACCCGTTTGTCTCCGGTTTGCAGTGACGCACGAGGCACGATGGAGACGCAGCGGTATCCGCTGCAGCCGGTGCCCCGATAATAATAATAATAATAATAATAATAATAATAATAATAATAATACCTTTTATTTCAAGCGCCTTTCAAAGCTCTCAAGGTCACCGTACAAGACAAAATATAAGGAACAGCAAGCAATACAAACAACAAGAAACAGCTGCTAAGAGTGACTCCCAAGGGCAGAGTCGGAGCAGTACAATCAGTGGCGGGTTTAGCAATGTGGGGGCCCAAGGCGAACACAGACATGGGGCCCCCTTACACCACTGTATTTGCGAAACTCTCCCCTCTTCTGACACGAGTTATTTTCCCGTTTCATTTGTCCTCTTTTTTCCTGTCTTTCCCTCCGTTTGAGTGCTTTCAATATTTGCTCTGCCTTCTTCTTCCTGTCAGTGCTCCCGTGCTTTTGCCTTTCTTTTTTTTCTATTTTCCATTTTGGTCTATGGTTTCCTCCCTTTAAACATTTTCCATTGTCTTTCCTTTCTGCTTCCTTTTGATGTTTACATAGAAAAACGACGTCACTTTCAGAAGTGAAGATAAAAGCTTTTTTAAAGCAAGCTGATTCTTTCTCTTACTGGAGCCACTAGGATAACTCCATTTCAAACAAACGCTCCTACCTCGCATCATCTTCTTCTTCCTATTTGTGGTCTTATGGCACTTGGCAAACAATAATTTGGTGCATTACTGCTACCAACTGAATTGGAGTGGAATGACTACCAATCGCTTCCTGTTTGTGCATCGCCGTCTTAAAGGAATAGTCCATTGTGGGATTAACAGAAGGGTGCCGGTGGTCAGGGTGAGGGGGCCCCCTTATGCTAGGGGCCCCAGGCGGCCGCCGACCTATGCCTAATGGTAAAACCGCCACTGAGTACAATGGATAATAGACTAAAAAGAGGACGCATGGATCTCCGCACGTGCTCATTTTTGCGCCTTGTGGTATCAGTCTCTTGAGTTATTTTTGCCAGAAGAAGCGATCTGTAGTTTTTTTGAGGACGTGAAGGGGCTGTGCAGCCATTAACCGGGACAGCGGTCCAGATCCATGAGATGTTGGATAGGGGGACACCTAGCGGTAACTAACGGAACTACCTGCGATCGTCACGGTCCCCGGTCGGGTTTGATCAACGCCCGGAAATAAACACAGTTAGCATTTAGCGATGTTTGTGGTCAAAATGAACAAAAACACTGATGTCATGCAGACATTTTACGTGTTAAAGGTTCTTTTTTATCCCTAGGGTGACGTCATTACAGCATAAAACCAGACTCTTGAATTTGTGTCAACCCCAGAAGCTTATTGGCTCCGCAGTTATAGACACCAGTTAGCTCTCAGATTGGTGGTTTTAACCTCTTCTCATCCTGAAACACCCACTGGGCCCATCAGGCTGGGCTCAGGTGTTTCTCATCATCCAGGTGTGATCAAGGTTCAGACTGCGTTTAATAGATGCTCCCTTCTGATCCCCTCCTCTTCACCCAAACCACAACTTAAAACCTGCTGATTTGTTGTTTCTTTTGGTCATAAAATCAGACAATAATTTCACCTTAAACACATCTTAAATCTGTTTCACGTGTGAGTCCATCAGATTTAGCCATCAGACTCAAGTTTCACTAAAGGTGGAACAGACTATTTCTGTTCAGCCCCTTCTCGAATCTCGACTCCGGGCTGCTGGACCTCAGATCCAGGAGGAGCCGCAGCTCGGTAGGAACAAGTGTGTGATCAGGAGGCCTCCTTGTCCTCTCATGCTGGAGGTTTTCTGGGCTCTGGGAGGAGAATGTGTCGGGAACAGCTGGAGTGGTGTTTCGGAGATGGATGGACGATCAAGATTATGAGATCTGAGCCAAAAGCAGACCAACGACTTCAATAATAAACAAATGAGTTAAAACGTAACATCAGATTTCAGCTTCAGAGCTAAAGCTGATAAAACTGAGCCTCTGTTTAGGGATCTGACTTTTCTCCAGTAGATGGCAACACAGCTCCTTCTCTGGGTGGAAAAGCCGCCAGGCTCCATCCAAACCTGTTTTCTAACCTCCGTAAATTTTTCTTTCATTTTCATTGTGTTCAGTGCAGAGAGACAACCGAGTCCGCCCTCTCATGGCCTGTCTTACCCAGGAACACAGATCCACCCAGAGGAGGACAGGAAAGCTCCATCATGTGCTTTAGGAGACCTTTTTAGTGAAAGGGCCTCTTTTATCATTTATCAGGTCTCACATGGAACTTCCTGTTCCTGACTCTAGAAAAAAACACTATTTGTTTCTGACCCATTGCTCATTACCGTCAGGTGTTTTCAGCTGATAATTGGTAGCTTCAGCATTGCCTCACAATCCAAATCCATCTAGAATAAACTTCTAAGGAGAAAATGTCATGAAAATGCTTTTGAAAAACTCAAAAATTCCTCGTAAATGACAAACAACCCAAAAACATAATTAAAAGTCTACCAGTCCCTGAATGAACTCAAGCTTGTGCTGCTCTTCATGCTGGAGATACTTTCATGTTGATTAATAATTGCTTATTAAGACCAGAGCAGGTGTTAGAAAGGAGCCTCGGTTACTGACGCGCCCAAATTCACCCCGACTTCAGGAAGTCTGAGTTACTGACATTTGCCTGTTGGTTGTGGTTGATTAGCTAACCCCCTTATATTGGGGGCGACGGTGGCACAGGAGTTAAGCTCTCGCCCCGTAATCGGAAGGTTGCAGGTTCGAGCCCCGCTCAGTCTGTCACTGTCGTTGTGTCCTTGGGCAAGACGCTCAACCCACGTTGCCTGCTGGTGGTGTTTGGAGGGACCGGTGGCGCCAGTGCTCGGCAGCCTCGCCTCTGTCAGTGCACCCCAGGGCAGCTGTGGCTACATTGTAGCTCATCCCCACCAGTGTGTGAATGTGTGTGTGAATGGGTGAACGACTGATTGTGTCGTAAAGCGCCTTGGGGGGTTCCAGGACTCTAGAAGTTGCTATATCAAATACAGGCCATTTACCATTTAGCTGTAGCGACCGTCTTGAAATGAGTTGAATCCTTGAAGGGATCAGGTGCAGGATTTCCTCCAGTGAAGATTTTTTAGAGTTTTTTAAAAATCCATTCTATAGTTCACGTCAGACACACAGGGTTGACTCCAATAGTAGAGGCTGAGCTTTAAAGAGCAAGTCACTCCAAATCAACAGTTTTTTGCTGATAAACTATATAAATGAGTGTCTGATTGTGTTGTGGACAAATGAATTCAATAATTTGACATTATAGTTCATTTTAGTTAAAATTTAAATATTCTGCCTAAAACTGTCAGCGATGCACCGTCGTCAGGTAAAAACTCTGCTCTGCATTTGAATAGAAATCTGCCATCGCTATTGGCTAAGAGGTACACTATGATGTTAGATGGTACATTATGATGTCACAATGTCGTGAGTGTGTGTATTTGTTAGCGACTCCACCCTCTCGGTCTGCTGGGCAACAGCATTTGTTGCATTTTTCAAACAGGAAGTGGACGTTGAGTAAGAATCTGGTAGGGGGTGACTTGCTCTTTAAGCAAATATCAGACAACGTCTAGCACTGGGAGTCTGTGAAGGATGACTTTTAAAGACCAAGTTCACTGAGAAACCATTTCCTACTTGTTATTTTTGAAATATGATCGGTCACAATGAGTTTCACATGCAGGCTTAATGTGAAAATAGTCTTCAAACCCTATTTCCTGTGTTAGCCTCTGATAGAAAATACAGAGAAACTCAGGCTTTGAAAAGCCTGACAATTGCACATCATAATGCCAAATTAGCGCTGCTGAAATTCTGAACCAGCTGAAGTCTGCACAGAGCAGCTTTAATGCCATAAAGGTACGAGTTGGAATAGTCAAGCCAGGGATGTAATGAAGGCGTGGACAACAGATGCTGGGAGACGTTTACTCAGGACCGGCTTGAGTTTGGGAATTTAGCTGAGGTGGTAGAAACAGGATTTAACTGTGCAATAAACCTAAGCACCCATCTTTAAGACTGTGTCCATTATTACTTCAAGGTTGGAAACAGTTGAGAGGTCACATGAGAGAAGAGAGAGAGGAGGTCAGGTGGCGGGGCTGTTCTAACATTATCAGTACTGAACTAAGCTTTAGAGCCGTTCAGATGAAGGAAGTTTTCAGCCAGCTTCTGCTTGATGTTATGAAGACAATCGAGCAGAAGTTTAGAGAAGTCAGTGGGCTGGAGACAGATGTAGATTTGGAAATTGTCTGCATAGAAGTGATAGGAAACTGCATGCTGTCTAAAAATGGCTCTTAAGGGTAGAATATAAAAGTAGAACAGTAACGGTCCAAGGACGGCACCTTGAGGGACACCCCAGGGCAGGCAGACCCACTGGAATGAATAGTCTTCCAGTGTGACCCCAAGGGTCCTGTAGAAGGACGACTTAAAGCAGTCGAGTGTCTGTGAGGCCAGCCTATGAATGGAGTCTGGAGATAAGGATGCTATGGTCAAATGTGGCAAAGGCTGCAGATAGATCCAGGAGAACCAGAACCACACAGAACCCTGAAACTACGGCCAAAACGATGTCATTAAACACTCGTACATGAGCAGTACCCGTGCTATGCTGGTGCCTAAAACCCTATTG